TTATTGTAGCTCATAAAGTAAATAGTTTGATAATTTGATGAATGAAGGGAAATAATCGAAACCATTCCACCAAAATTAGGACATCTGGTCAAACTACAGTTTTAAAAATTTTGATTGCTTTTTTCTGTAATTTCAAACTCAATTAATAAATGTTACCGAGACTTAATAATTTATACTCAAATGGAACTATTTCTTTAAAATTGGAATATCTACTTAGGCTATGTGTAGTATGAATAATTACACAAATCTTGATTTCTCCATTCTGTAATCTCAGACATTTCTAGTGAATCTTAACTTCTAGTTATATTAAAAACTTAACTCCACATTTATAATCCAATGATGTATATACATTGTGACCGAAAAGTTTCCTTTGCGTTTTAAATAAAACGCAAAATTCTTAATCTTCATCAATATTTATTTTATCTCCTTCAAAATATGCTCCATTAGAAGCGATACACAAATGCCAACGTTTCTTCCAATCATCAAAACATTTTTTATAGGCGCTTTCCGGTATGGCTTTGAGTTCCCTCTGCGAATTCTGTTTTACGTCTTCTATGGATTCAAAACGCGTTCCTCTGAGTGGTAATTTGAGGTTGGGAAACAGGAAAAAGTCACACGGTGCAAGATCAGGTGAATACGGTGGCTGTTCGATGGTATTTATTGAATGTTTGGCCTTAAAATCGTTGATAATGTTGAACAAATTGAGGTGAATCGGAACAAGCCGGGCGTTGACACGTCGCATACACAAATTGTCCACCAAAATCAAACGAGCCATCTCACGACCGATGCCTAGCTCTCGTGCTATCTCTCTAACACTCACATGAGGATTTTTGAACACGATTTCCTTTGCCTTTTCAATGTTTTCGTCGGTGGTAGAGGTCGAAGGTCGTCCAGAACGCGGCATGTCTTCGACGGTCGTACGACAGTCCTGAAAGGCTTTGTACCACTCATAAACTTGAGTTTTCGATAAAACTGATTCCCCATAAGCCTTTTGTAGCATTCGCAACGATTCTGCACACGAAATTTCGTTCGAAAAACAAAATTTGATGCAAACTCTTTGTTCAATATTTTTTTCCATTGTTTTTTTCGCAACGCACTACTGAGGTGAACTGGTTTCAACAGCTGCCGTAAACGAACTGTCTGACAGATCGCGCTCATTTTTGGCATAGTAATTAAGGACAGTGCTGCCAAACTACATAAACTTAAAATATCGAAAAATATACAGCGCGCGAATTTTAAATGAGAATTTCCGAAAACTTTTCGGTCACAATGTAGTTTGAGATACACTGTTAACAAAGCGGAACTAATTTAAAACTAGGACTTCTGGTCAGTCTATAAATTTATCAACCCTGGTTATTTTTTCATATAATCTCATAGTTATATTCTAAATCTTGTTTATTGAATCGATTAAAAAACTTAACATAGTTTGACAGGTAGTAGAACAAAAAGAGAAATTTTTCTTCCGGAGCCGGAAGTTTTAGTTAACTTATGATATGTAAAATCTTGATGTTGTATTTTGTTTCATAGTTCAGAACGAAAACAGCGACGCCTGTTTTGTTTGTATTATATTAGTTGTAGATCCTATGAGGCGCAAATGGCTACATATTTGTATTACTTTTAGTTTTTTTATAAGAATAACCTTGTTAATTAAAATTACTATATCAATCAAAGTTACAATCTACAACACACAGTTGTTTAAGAAATCAGCTTAGGCTAATTCCTTATTTATATTAAACTATAAATATTACGATAAGTTCCCCTGTCAACTGGATCGCAGATTCGCATTGTACTTAAAATTGCGCTTGATGACATTTAATTAAATTAACAAATTTTAAAATTATTATATTCTCAACAATAATCTATGTATTTGTACAACTACATAATTGTACTTAAATAAGTGATAATTTTTCATATTTTTATTGGCTCTTTTATTTAAAATCATTTTCGCATACAAATTTATTATCGAGAGTTTGTATTCAACAAACGCGCATACAAAGATTTTGTGGCTGTCAAAATGGTCAGTCAAAAAAATTTCATTTAATTAAACAAATTATTGCTGTCAATTATAATTAAATAATAATGAAAAAAAATTATTTAAAATATTTCACGTACAATTTTTTGTTTTATGCATTTTGCAGACCATGGTTGATGGTCGAATGGAATATTGATCTGAAGATGAATGAAGATGAATCAGAAATGTTCAAATGATAAATTTTATTTATGGTTCCAAACTTTTATTAATGCAAAAATTTAAAAAAAAATTTGAATCGATTTTATGTTTAATAAATAGGATATTAGAGGAAAATTGTTTAAGACAGAATTAATTATAAAAATATTCATGTGAATTTTATGGTATCTAGTCGAACAAAATTTTTTTAATTATTTACTAACATATTTGCAGAGTTATGAAGAAAAAATTTCTCGTTTTCATTTATTATAAGTATTTATATATAGATTAATATATTTTTTATACAATTAATTTTTATACAATACAATATATAATAATCAAATAATGTAATTCCTTGTTCCATGTAGTTAAAAAGGAGTACAAAAACAAAAACAAAGTCCTGTTTAATTGAGCACATCACAATTAGAATACAAGGTATCATTCATTGTATGTTTATTTTACAATTGCTCCTAACAGTCTAAAAATAAAGGAAAGGTTCCTTTGATTCAAGAAGGTTAAAAAACAATAACAAGGATGATTGCGATTGTTTTTTAATTTTAATCGTTCTGATGCTAAAATTGTATTAGAATTAGGATACATTTTTACACGGCAATTGCTATCAATTGTTTTTAGGGGGGACATAACTTCGTAACCATAAAACCTATTATGCCCATCAAAAGTTCATAAATGAATATAATTTATTGGTACAAGTAGCAATCAAAAAACAAAAAAGGGATTTTTTGATTTTTTTTTTAATGTTAATACAGACACAGGGTGTTCAAATCTTAAGAACATCTTATTCCAAAAGTGATTTATTTACATCCTCTTTCAATTCAGTCTTATCTTAAAAAAATCTTAACCAAAAAGTCATGCGATTACATCCTTTTTTCGTTCAGTTCAAATACATTTTGATTTGGTACGTAATCTGTTATTATATAAATGGGTTTTAAAGTGAATTAAGTGTAAATTTAATTTTTTCAAAAAGTTTTCAGTTCAAACTTCATGTATTTTAAAATCTTCTTAAAAAATGTATATTTTACACATTTTACATTAGTGTGTTATTATTTTAGAAACATATTTTTTGTATAAAAACTGTGAACTTTCATACACCAATTTTGTTGTCCTTCATAGGAATATGCTTTTTTGCTTATTTGAAGAGAAACACCTGATAGTATGGATAACAATATTTTATACAAAATAAAATAATCAATTAGCATTGTTTTTTATAGAAAAACCAAAAACAGACTTTATTGTATAATTCTAGCAGTAAGCTTACATAAAATGAATTCGAAAATATTCCTATCATAAAAAGATACTTATATTAAATTTAAACAAAACTTTTGAGATAAATTAAGTCTTCCGAAAAAATTATCAAATGTCAAATAAATTAATCGTCATTTTCAATTGCGCTGGAATTAAGTAAGAAATTAAACATCAAGTTTAAGTGTAACTAAAAGTGTACTTTTTGGATAATTCGTTTTTGAAATATTGATGTTTTTACAACTAAAACTTTTTACACATACATGCATAAACTTTGTTAACTACTAAATTTATTTTATTTTCATTCACATATTTATTCTCCTTTTTCATAGTGACTCTTATCGCCTACATAACTTATATATACTTTTGATAATCCGATTTAAGTTTCAAACTTGAAATAGTGTATCTTTAATGCATGCAGTGCTAAGCGGTTAACCATTTCGTCTAATGCCTTCGTTTAAATTTTGTTTCCCAATGCTTATATATATCTAATATTTTGACAAAATTCATATGTTCTAATTTAGCATCAGAATTATATAAGTATTATTACGAATATGTAATCTAAAAACTTTATGTGTTTACTTAATTGCATTAAAAAAATATGAGATAATAGCAGATATTAAAATAAGCTTTATTGAGCTTTATTTGAAATTCTATTTAGAATGCCACTGTGCAGTTGTGGTTTCAACACAAAACTTTGATGCTTCACTTAAATATGTAAGCTTGCATCTCATAAAAATTCTGTAAACATCACTACTTTAGAGGTTATTATTCCAGGGTTATGTATAGCTTCTAAACTAAACCGATATTTAACCGAAACCTGAATGTAACTGTACTGTACCACAAACCGACACGTTCTAGCTTTGCATTAAAGAAACGGTTAATCAAACCAAACCAAAGGTTAATTGTATTTCCGAACCATTAAACCAGAATATTTTAGAAATTTGTGCGGTTTATAGTTCTGTAATAAATCGATTTCTTTATGTAAATTTTGTAAATGGTTATTAATTCAATAATTCAATATTTAAAAATCACTGAACTTGAATTACAATACTTTGATTTTGCAACTTTACACTTAAAACTCTAATATTGTCAAAGGAAATAATTTCTTTGATATAGAGTTACCGCACTGGAACAAATAGCATCAAAATTTCGGTTTCAGCACGTTGTCACGCTCAAATTCCTTGATACCAAAATGATGCTTTCCTTATTTTCTTTTAATCCCAAAATAATTTCAAATATTCGTTTCGAAGTGTAGTTTTTACTTTGTTTTAAAATTCGTTATTTTTTGAAACGGAAATATAAAAAAATTTTAAAATTTTTAAATAAATTTCAAGTATTTAGTATTTAATATTAACATATATGTGAGTAGGCGGAAAACAATAAAGCATTTTATCTATAAACTCATCAATATTTGTTTCAACCCAACTGTATTTATTTGTCCTTTAAGGAGCAATAAAAGGATTTAAAAGATTTGTTTAAATAAAAGACAAAATTATGGAGAAACAAAAAGTGGAATATAATAAAATATATAAAAAATAAGTACTAATAAATTGGCAATGTAACATAAAAATTGCCTTCTTAAGCTTTGCTGTGTTGTTTTATTTGTCATGTCCTGTTTAAAAAGTTAAGAGTCCAATGTGGACATTTGTGAAAATAAAAGATTTTCTGCCAAACGAATGCTTTATTTACGACAATCGCACACACTTTGGCGATACATGAGCGCAAGGATAATGAAAAGTTCTAAACAGAAGCTGCTGTTTCTATGTACTCTCTGTGTATTGCATGTGGTGTACGGTGAAATTATTTTACGAGTGGATCCCTTGGGTAAGCATAAAAGTTTGATTGTTTCTAAACATTTGAATTATTACAAATTATATGAATTTTGCCTTAAATGCTATAATTTAAGTTTTACAAACTGTTAACAGACTAGCTTATAAAATATGTTCCGAAATATTTACTCGTTCTATTTACTCGTTACTTATCCTTGTACATTTAATGTGTTGACAATACAAACACGCAAGCAATTAAACTGATTCATGCTGACACGCAATTAGATTAGACAACAATTAAAGATAAACTCAGTCTGTAAAGGATATCAAGTGTAAATTACGACCTGATTACAATTTCACATATACTATATGGAAGCTACGATAAGAACGTAAAACTTGTTGAAATCAAATAATTTGCAAATCCCTCCATTATCTAATAGCTCATTAGAAACAAATTTAAAAAATACTTAAGTAATAGTAAATATTTTTTTATATAGAATAGGCATTTTATAATTCTAATTATAAATACATAATAATTTGGTTTTTAAAATGGGCTAATTGGTCAATAGTTAAATAATACTATTAAATACTACTAATAATGTTTAAAAATATTTTTCTTGTTTTTAAAAAAAGTTAATTTAAACCTATATGTCGACTATATTCTATATATATGTATTCTAAATTCTATATTATTATTATATTGAGGCTAGTTGAGCTAGTGCACTTAAGCACTTTTACTCTCTATTAACTGCTAGATTTTTTCATAACCCCTCTCTACGCCTTGATTGGATTATTGTTTATCACTTCATCAGGCTATTCAATAACTGACCTCTGATCTGCATATCTCCCCGAAGAACCATTCTGAGATACGATAGCGCAGTGTTGGTAAGCCTATTAGCTTTCGTCAATAGTTTCAGGGCTTTATCCTTTATGTATTTTTTGATCGGATCAATATTGAAGTCCGTGAGGATGCCATTCGTCCTAATATACCATGACACCGTAAAAAGTATTCTCAGATACTGGCTTTGTGCAATTTCTAGTAGTGTTTAAGACTTTTCTGAACACTACACACCCATATAGAAGTGTAGTCTATATTCTATTCTATATTCTTTATACAACTATAAAATAAACTATTTTAAAAATAAAAAAATTTTTTTAAAAAAGTATTTTAACTATTGTCATAATAGCCCGTTTTAAAAACAAATATAGTATATATACTATATTCTATAGTCATCTGATGACTGTAGAATATAGTCAAATTTTTTATAAACAAAAATATTTTTATAAAAATTTATTTAATTTATTTACTTATTTTATTTAAGTATTGACCAAAAACAAAATAATTATTAAAAATTTTTGATCATTAAAATAATAAATTATTAATTGTAAATGAAAACATTTAAAAAGTTATAGATATTTCACAATTTAAAAAATAAATATTCAGCATTAATGATATTTTTTAATTATAATTTAAATTGTAAATAAAGAAATATAATATGAAAAGAAGTTTCTTTTGATATTTTCAATATCAAATATTTACTAAAAAAGTTATAGAGAAATCAATATAAATATAGTGATTATTTTTTATATTATTATAGTGATATATTTTATTTTGCAAAACATGTACGTCTTAAACATTGATTTATTTAAAAAAGGTTATTCAACATTAACGTTACATTAACGTAACTCAATAACAACACCCAGTTATAGTTTAGAATCCGGCAATCACAAGGAAATAATGAATCAGAAATACGCATATAAGTGGATGGTCATAAATTTTTAATAACTCCAAAGACAATACATTATGGTTGGCACTTACATTAAGTGCTAAATTATATAGAAACTGAAATAATACATTTAAAAATTTTACATTGATATATAAAATTCTACAGAAGTATATTGATAAACATATATCGGTTTATTAGGCCAAATTTCTCGGAATAATTTTTAATATTAATTGCAACGGTTAGCAATCAAATTTTTTAGAAACATCAAAGTCTGAATTATGTTTCTTATAGTCTGTTCAGTTAAAAATATTTTTGTAAATTGTAATATATGCCCATTACTTAAGACAAGTAAGTAAGCATTAAGATATAATTCAGGAGTTATAAGATGGTTTTAAATTTTTTTAAAATTCTAAGAGGAACGTATGTATGTCTTTTGAAGTTCTTTAAACCATTTTTAAATAATTGATCAAATTATGTAAATTACGAAATTTATATAAAAATTATATAATTAAAATAAAAATTTTTTAACATTTAAAATAATTAAGGATTTTTTCATATTATGATGATCCCTCTTTGTAAAAAATTAAATTCTAAATAATATAGTTTTTTAATCGGTCTGTACCTTGGAATAACACTATTTTAAAATTAATATAATAGAATAGAATATAAATTATAGAAAATTAAGTCACATATACAAAATATTTTATAAGCGATAATTATTATTATTTATTTAAAAAATTAAAAATTTAATGTATTTTACTAATAAAATGATTTAACAATAATAAAACTAATAAAATTAATTATTTAATATTTTTATATTTTCCGGTGACCAATTTGATGACTGTGATCGTACATAATAATCTAATTACTTATGCTTGGCATCCTTAAAATGGATTTCTGTAGCTCTTCTGTCAGCCACATTACGAACATATCAAAAGGTGGCTTGTGATACAGATCAGGTATTAATTGCTTGCCCACGAGGGACTAGTATTTCTATCGAGTTCGCACAATATAACAAATTTATAGCGAAAGGTAAGTTATGTTGTTATATATAAGAAAAATAGGGTTTATTAATAACATTAAAATAATATAAAAAAATATATTATTGTGATTTTTTAATATTGTAAGTATTAAATAAAAATCGAAATTACTACGTATTATGTCTATTAACTCAAAAACATTGGTTTTTAGGGTATTTCACGTGGTTCAGAAATACATTTTTTCGATCACTATATTAAAGCCTGACAGTTGCTGTAAAACATTCCTCGAAAGTGAGTGTTTTAGTTCTGAAACATTATATAATGTTTTTGAAGGAAATATGTCTGATATGTGAAGATATGTCTATAAAAATAGTTTGGTGTTTTATCGTCAAAACAATTCTTTTCGGCAACTATTATTTTGATTGTTGTCTTTGTTCTGGATTTAAATTTCATCAACTAACTTTGGACTTGACATAATACCAGATATAATGTTAATCTTACTTGAAATGACACAAATGCATTTTTAAAATGAATTTACGTCTTTGGTATATTATTAACAAATTTGGGACCCATTTTATACAAAGCATATGTAAATTGTTTTGCTAAACTTTTTCAATTCATTATATATTATTTTTACAATTTTTGATGTATGTATTTTAATTAGATACGACTCAACCTAATTTGTGATAACAAATTAATATACTAAATTTGATCCTTCCACTATAATTGTGATTTTTCAATTTCTTTAGGCGTCCACATATTATGCCAAGTTTCATATTGTGAATCATACCTGACATTGCTGTATTCATATATATATGTACATATATTCTCAAATAAAATAATTGTAATCATAATAGTCCTTAATTAGTATAACAAGATATTTACGAGCCTTGATATGAATACTAAAAGACATGGCTTCCGAAAATAAATAAAATGTTCGTTCATTTTAGATGGCGTAAGCATTGATGAGTTGTGTCCTGCTGAAGGAGACATGACTCCAATTCGTTCAAAAGCAAAACATTTGTTGCGTGGCTCCACATTTGGTTATCCCACGCAACAAGTAGCAGCAACCCAATTCGCCACTGCCGACTATGCTTTAACGCAAAATAAAGGTGACTTAACAAAATCGAATTCAAGCGCAAATGCTACATCAGCTGAGATGGGCAAAACCGACACTGAACATAATACACCGGAAAACTGTATGTGGCCAAATGCTTTACAGGTTGGTATTTATTCATACAATGTAATATAAAATTGTACAAAATTAATAATCACATGGATATATTATTAAACCCCATTCTTTTAATCTATGTAAAAATTAAGTAGACTGCACTTAAATACAAAAAAACTGTGATGAGTAAAAATAGTTCAAACATCTATTGCTTTATTATTGCTATTAGGGGATAATTCTTTGAAAAATGATAAGTAATTTTGTAATAAGAAAATAAAAAGTGATAATTTACCTTAATGAAATATATAAATACCTTATAACAGTTTCTTTTAATCGAAAGGTTTCCAAATACCTGATTCAAAATTAAATATATTCGTTTTTTCGTTACGATTAGGGCCCTTGCTATTTAAGCCTTTAAAAGTACTATAGGTTGGTAAAATCAAAATTTTGATTCTTGTAGATATTTGCAATTTAAAATTTTTTATCACTATTACCTACGATGATATTAGAATTACAAACTTCTTATTTCAATAAATTACTTTATAAAATTAACTTTAAAATTGTATATCAATTAAATTGTTATATTTTAGTTATATTGAGGATTTACGAAACATATTAAATTAATTATTAATTAATTCGGTTTTATAATTGGGAATAATAATCATAGTAAAATCATGTAAAATAGCGTAGTCATGGGATATCACGAGATCGGAATCTGTAAAGATAACAAAATATTTGAATTCGGTTTTTAATTTAAGACATGTCTTTCATTGTTGAATACAGAATGAAGACTTCCATTTGTTGAAATCCAAGTTATACTACTAGTGACATATTTATTAGAATATAACTAAACAACATTATGGTATATGTTAACACAATCAGTTACTATTATAAAATTAAATCTGCAATATACTGACATATTAAATGAATCTTAAAAATTTCCATTAATGACTTGAATTTTAATTTTTTACTTGAGTTTTTATTAATTGAAGTATTTAAAAATTGTTATAAATCATATATGTAGATACTGATATAATATTTTTTTATGTAATTTTTTCCAGTATTCACTACTGCAGGCTGTAGTTGAAGCATGTCAAAAAAGAAGGCACTGTAAATTTAATGGAACCCCACAGTATTATGACGCGGATTCAAGCGGAGTTGGCGAAAATAGTTACGATAGCAATTATCACAGTTCCAGCACAGCAAATACAAATGCGGTTGATATGGATCCTTGCCCAAAACGAAGAAAAATTGTTGAAGTAGCTTATAAATGTCGTCCATGTAAGTAGATATTACTCTATCTATTTAACATTTTTGTCCATATAATCAATTTATAAGTAATCTATCATTATTATAATCTGAAGAATATGCTTCAAATGGCCCAAGCGTTATTTTATAAAGGCTATTATATTTCAAAAATATTCGGATCATATTACCATATTCCCATGTTTCTGACTTTTTCAAATCATGTCATATTTTGAAAGTAACTTATCTTAGAGTTACAATATTTTAACTTAATTAGTACAATTTTAAATTATAATTAATAATAAAAATAAAAATATAAATAATTATATTAGTACATTTAAAACAAAATGAAGAGGTCTGTAGTATTTTTTTAACAAAGTTGGCATTAAAATGAGTGTCTAATAGTCCTCGCATTATGTATGGATCATGGTACTGATGGAGTAGTTATTTTAAACAGAAAATTCGTTACGTTATTTTTTATTATTTGTATATCGAATACGTCCATACAAGCACCAGATAAAAATTTTTTAGTCCATAATTTCTGTAAGTCTGTAAATTTCTGTAAGGTTAATATAAATTTTAAATATAATATGAGATGTTTAAATAATGTTTTAATAAAGAGAAAGAATATTATTTCATTTAATAAAAATAACCTGAGTTTCAATTAAAATTGTTATTGCTAAAAATAATTAATTATTGGAATAAAATAGTAAATAACGCCATAAAAGTAAATTAATAAAAGTGTATGATTTATTCTACATAGCTGTTATTATTAGTTTATTACGATTTTCTCATATTTCAGATGAATTCCGCAGTAAAGTGGCCTGCCATAATGATGCCGCACAGTTGGAGTGTAATCCTTATTCCCGAATTGCTGTTTACAGTGCTACTTTTGGCCGCACTGAATATGAGAGCATACAATGCCCACAACCACAAGGAGTTAGGGAAGAAAGTAAGTAAATTTTTATCTGTCTCTTTAGACACGTTTATCTCATTAATTTATTTCTATCCAACAACTTGTGTAATTTGGTTGATTTATTTATTTATTAAAGCGTGTTTAGCCTCGAGGGCTACTGAAACAGTTATGCAAATATGTCACGGTCGCCGTCGGTGCAATATAGCTGCCAATGCTAATACATTTGGTTCGCCCTGTCAACCAAATTCACGAATGTATCTCAAAGTTGTTTACACATGTGGTAAGTGGAATTTTATTGGAAATTATATTATTAAGAAAACTAAACTTTGTAATGTATGATTTGCATTTTTGTAGTACCCAAGCAAGTGCTTAAAGATCGTTATGAATCGGAAGTTGAAGTCGATGAAGCAGAAGACTTTGATGGGAATATCAATGAGTTGTATGATGATGATTTAATTTATAAGGAATCGCAAGCAATTCCAAAACTTTATAGTAACGCTACAGTCAATGTTGATAGGATAAATTTTTCTACATCTGTAACGACAATAACATTAGAAGCAAACGACTCCACAATTTTTCATAGAGATATCAGTGATGTTAATCCTGTTATGACGCATAGCGGAGATTTAACTCTTGAGGGTAAATAATTTACTTTTATCTTATGATTTATACAATATAAGCGATTATATACGATGATATATTTAAGTGATTAGTTATAGATTTATATGTATATTTATTATTGTCTCTACTAATATAATGCACCGAGACAGTTTAAAGAAAGATTCAGAAGAAGCTAATATTTTGTCTTATGGTTATTTTAAATTACAGACAAAGTATCCTTGTCTGGACCTTTGGTAGTTTCGGGACATGAAATTTGTATATTGAACATATGTATATTATGTATTATATTATGTATATTATACCAATTAAGGATGTTAAAAAGATATTTGTAAAAGTTATTAGGAAATTTAAATACTAATATTAATGTATTAATATTAAATTTGCAGATTTGTTATCTTTAGATTATATTGTCAAGAAAGAGCCATCAAAACTAATTCCTTCCTTTAAATATGCTATAAATCATATGCCTTGCGGCCGATCATATTTTGCACAAATTCAAGATTCGTAGTGAAGAACTATATAAGAAATTATAAGGCTTTTCATCAAATTATTAAAATGAAAAAAATACAGATTTATATTTATAGAGGGTAACAGTGTACTTATATATCACAAAAATCTTAAAATTATCCACTATAGGTATTTTACTTAATTCTAAATTTTATTTTTCAAGTACATACCCGTATGTAATATATGCATTTTTCCCAACATAGATGACCAGGAGCGGTTGTATATTTATTTATTAGTGAGTGCATCACTGGGTGTAATTGTTTGTATCATCATTGTTGGACTTAGAGTATTAGTTCAAAAACGTCAAGATTCAAGTCATGATACACAAGCCCCTATGTCAGTTAAAACTACTGGAGGAGGAATTTCCTGTGCTGAAACAACAATACCAAATGGATTCAATGACACAATTTCAGAGATAGACACTGATATCGATTTAACAACTCCAGTTGCTGTATCAAGCGTATCTAACAATGAAGTAAGTTATTCAAATCTAATATTATATTAAATAAACAAAAAACAAAGAAATAAATAAATAAAATGGTTAGCGAAGTTTACTTCAATAACGACACATACTTTTATTTTTTTTTGAACATCAGCTTTCAATCATTAATATTTACTCTGATATGTTATAAGTAACAGTTGGATAACTTTGTATTTATTCGTAAAAAACTTAGAACTACATAACATACTGTCCTTCTGCGAGTTTATATGGTCCTTCAGTAATGTCAAATATGACATCTACAGTTGTCTTACATGGAAGCGCAATTGGATGTCCAACAACTGGTCTGGTAGCGAATCGAACCCAGTGTGGACTTCGACAATCGCCTGATGTTATAGGAATCTCGACAAGTACTCACTTTACTACAAACACTTCAAATGCAGAAAGGCAAACAAATGAAGATGCAATACTGGCTCCTGCAATTGTGATTAGTGGTGCCAATACATATGTCAATAGTGCATGCGGCATTAATACTAAAGGTAAGATTAGTTTAGGTAATAGTTTAGGTTAGTTTGGTTTTATATGCTGAATTAAAATTTATAATCAATATCATATATATTCTATTTATAATATTCTATTTAATACAATGAAGAAATCAAAATGAATTATTCAAATCTTGTATTTTAAAACACAATTATAACAATAAAAACATGAAAATACTCTCCCATATTTTTTTTTATATCTAATTTTATTGCAATTATTTTATAAATAGTTCATAATTAACATTGTTATTTCTGTTTTATGTTTTCTATTACAGATGCAATTGTACCAACGCTGACGCATTACACTACTGTACCGAGTTTTCGTCCAGATTACATTATTAGTTCAGATAAAGGTATTCCGAGACCGCCAAATACAACAAATCTACAGAAACCGATTCAAAATATATTCACAAATCAACAATTGCAACCACAACATCAACAAATAACAGGACTATCAAATACCAACCCAATGTCATCAACATCAACAGTCTGCATAAACCCGACTGCCTCTCTATCAGTTTTACAACAACAGCCATCATATGATGGGACAGCACCACGCACTCTTTCTACCGGTGTACCAGTTGATTCACAATTCTATTACGGATGACAGAATCCATTGAAAAATGAAAAAGTTCCACAAATCTTGTTAACACCTGTCGTACAGAGTAATCGAAAAACGGGGCACATTATTGATTCAGCAGAAAGCAATTGTGTTTTACAATCTTCTCAAAACAAAATGGAATCATTGTCACAAACTAATATGAACGACGATACCCACATTACCCAACCTAGTCTAACTTTAGGAAGAAAAAGTAAACAAGATTCTCAACAGAAAATAACAAGTAATGATAGTTTGAAACGACGCTATTGTTTCTAACTTCATATGAAGAGGACTAGTAATATATTATTATATGCGAAATGGAAGTTATTAGTTTTTTAAATAACTTAGAAGTTGTATTAGATGTTGAAAAAAATTGACATGTTGTGCATATGAGTACAATGGTACTTTGACTTCTTAGGGCAAACATTGGAGTAACAGTGACAAAATGTTGTTTATAAAATGTATTTGTCTTATGTTGCCAACATAATCACCAGACACATTTCCAGACTTTAAATATATATTTTTTTTTTGGATTTTTTGATTTTGAAGCGGTTTCTTTTATATGAGAGTAGTAGATTGTATACATATATAACTGTTTATACCGTGTTTGCTGCACGGGATACTTCATCTATTCCAGAGTAATGTTAATTACGGATAAATAAAATTGGGGGTATTGTACCTAAAGATACGTATTTGATGTTCGACTTAAGCTATAAAATTGGTGTTGTTGTGATTCCTCACAGAAGCAAGGGTTCGTTTGTAAACTCTCAAATAAAAGGAACGAATGGTTAGCAAATTTTATAATTCCGAATAATTGCATACTTTAAGTTCAAGATGATACTTACCTTTATGAAGGTTGTGATAAAAATTTAATTATTAATAATTAATTTGAAAAGAAATATAAATAAAATGAAATCAGTTGTTTCAATTGGGGAACAATTTTGCTCAACTGATAATTATTATGATGCACTTGCCTTGTTATGGTAAGAAAAATAAAACTACCGAGCAATAAACTGCTAATTGTTGTGATATACATTGTGACTGAAAAGCTTTCGGAAATTCTCATTTAAAATTCGCGCGCTGTATATTTTTCGATATTTTAAGTTTATGTAGTTTGGCAGCACTGTCCTTAATTACTATGCCAAAAATGAGCGCAATCTGTCAGACAGTTCGTTTACGGCAGCTGTTGAAACCAGTTCACCTCAGTAGTGCGTTGCGAAAAAAACAATGGAAAAAAATATTGAACAAAGAGTTTGCATCAAATTTTGTTTTTCGAACGAAATTTCGTGTGCAGAATCGTTGCGAATGCTACAAAAGGCTTATGGGGAATCAGTTTTATCGAAAACTCAAGTTTATGAGTGGTACAAAGCCTTTCAGGACTGTCGTACGACCGTCGAAGACATGCCGCGTTCTGGACGACCTTCGACCTCTACCACCGACGAAAACATTGAAAAGGCAAAGGAAATCGTGTTCAAAAATCCTCATGTGAGTGTTAGAGAGATAGCACGAGAGCTAGGCATCGGTCGTGAGATGGCTCGTTTGATTTTGGTGGACAATTTGTGTATGCGACGTGTCAACGCCCGGCTTGTTCCGATTCACCTCAATTTGTTCAACATTATCAACGATTTTAAGGCCAAACATTCAATAAATACCATCGAACAGCCACCGTATTCACCTGATCTTGCACCGTGTGACTTTTTCCTGTTTCCCAACCTCAAATTACCACTCAGAGGAACGCGTTTTGAATCCATAGAAGACGTAAAACAGAATTCGCAGAGGGAACTCAAAGCCATACCGGAAAGCGCCTATAAAAAATGTTTTGATGATTGGAAGAAACGTTGGCATTTGTGTATCGCTTCTAATGGAGCATATTTTGAAGGAGATAAAATAAATATTGATGAAGATTAAGAATTTTGCGTTTTATTTATTTATTTCCGGAAACTTTTCGGTCACAATGTATGTTATAATTTCAACAGTTTTTTGTGTTTAATGACCATATTATGCATACAGATGTGATACCAAATAGTACAGTAGTTTACTATATACATTTACCTTAAGTAATTACGGTACATGGGCACGTTCAAATAGATCAAATGTTACACCGCATTGGGGTTTCTTCAGACACAATCGACCAGTTGAGTAGTTTTAAAAATGAGAGTGTAAAGAATAGAAACTATATATTAAGTAAAAAGGAAATATGAGTTTTTAGTAAAATAAAAAAAAAATAATGTCATTATTTTTACCTCTAGGCATACAATATTGTACTATAAATACCATATCACATCTGTTTGTATCTACACCTATACTTAGTCAATTGGCGAGAAATTAGCAACGTGAAATGTTTCTAATTTATACCATAAGTTATGGAATCATTTTTTTTTTCTTGACTTGTTTATATAAAGCTTCATACACCGTTTTCTTATAGATCTATTTCACAGCCTCCAAATAATTTTTTACGTTTCTAAGAGTCCTATAAGGAGAAACAAATTTAAGATCATTATATACACGTTTTATATTTAAAAACCTTAAAAAATCTTAAAAAATCAGCAATCAGCATTGTATTTAAGGGCCTAATAAGACCTTGAGTAAGGGCGGACTTTCAAATAATACTTTACAGACACTCTTCATGTACTATTTGGTTTCAAGAGATTGAAGTTTATCTTAGAAAAACTGCCAAATTAAAGTCAGTATATACTTCTGAAATTATATACCGATAGAGACGGTATGCAGATCTTAGATCAGTCATCGAATAAACAGCGAAGCTTGTGAGGAATACATTAATTAGTCATAAAGAAGGGAGGGACTCTGTAGAAACCTCCCACCTAAGAAAGAGTAAAAGTGCCTAGTTGCACTAACTCGGAAAAACCTCAACATAAGACAGATATGATAAAATAAAATATCAAACTACACATAAAATCAATTACGTGTATAAAAGTTGATTTTGCTTTAACATGTGTTAATAAATTCAGAAATGTACCACATAAGTAGGTTCTTATAACTGAAAATATATCCCGTAATGTGGATTGATTAATTCTTTTTAGTTTCGGGAAAAATAAAATAACTTCAAGAAAAAAATTGGCAAGACTTTTTTGAATAGTAAAAAATAGAGCCTTAATATCTCGGCTAAGAAGTCATGATCCTGTTGTAAGATTTTTATGTTATCAAATGTAATAATGTGCTATTTCAACCAAGCAAAATTTGTTTAAAAATAATTGAATTATAAAGAAAGTTTTTTGATTAAAATATTTGACCTGGAAATATACTAATGGACTTAACAGACACGTAAGAGATACAAATACGAAGTTTTGCGGCAATCTAAAGGGAATCTTTATTATACACTGTGGTTATATATTTACCCATGCTTTCTAAAATGTTTGTCCGAATTGCCTCGAGATTACTTTGTAGAGCATATTGTTTCCATAACATTAGTCTCAGAAAGATATAGTTATAGGTGTGACTTTCGAAAACTAATTCCCAAATTATGGTTTTAAAATGAAAACAACATTAGTTCAAATGTCGATTGGGAGTATTTTTTTAGTATTACCAGTATTTCCCCATACCAAATCCTTGCCTGTGGCTAACAAATATGATGTTTTGTTTATTCAAAATAAAATAAAATAAAAATGTGACATTAAAAAGTGTGCATCTGCTTATCTACAATAACAAATTTTATTTAATGGTGGGAAAAATATTAAAATTTTAGCTACTTGTGAACTTGACTTGATTGAGGCATAAATGATTTTTGTACCATTCAAATATAATTTATGTACAGTTTGAAGAAATCATATTTTTAAAACTATTCTCAAGATTTTTTGCCTTCTCATTTAAAAGGTAGTTAGTTGATCCTATCCTCTTTTGTACTTGAAAGCCCAACAGTATTTTTTAGTACATCCCTACCTTCTGAACTTTCTTAGCGATTTTCTTCCGAATAGTGATTCTCATCAACATTATTATTATTTTCTTCCGAATAGTGATTCTCATCAACATTATTAATATTTTCTTCCGAATAGTGATTCTCATCAACATTATCAATAAGGCACTGTTACTACTTCCTTTGAGTAAAATTACAGCTTAGTTATTAAATAGAAGACAAAATGTTTTACATTATTTGGCGATTACTATAATATAATATTAATGGTATTATCAATTGTAAATTATATTAAAATGTTGATTTTCTAAATAATTTATTGTCTGGATTACTAAGGTGGTGTTTACTATATTAACACTAGCAATAAGAAAATATTCATATAACTTTTATATTAAAGTCATTTATTTGTTAAGTGCGATGAAAATGCATCATATGTGGATGCTTATATTACACTATTTTGTTTATGTGTTAATTATTTGAAATTTTGTTTAAACACTAAGTGCCTTCCTTAAAGATATTTCGAGAATTTGTTTAAATTAACACTAACACTAAATTAAATTTTGTATCTCAAAAGCACACAGTTTTATGTTTACTCAAATAAGAGTTCATTCCAGAATTTAATCAATTTCATTTGACTTACATATATATGTACTTGTAAAATTGATTTTAAATTTATATACTTAAATGAATTCTAGTAAATGTAATATTTTGAAACATAAATAAACAAAATATTAAAATTTAAATTACAATTGTAATGTATAGATAAATAAATAAATAGTTAATTAAATTTGTATTTAAGTTAAATGTGAAAGTGAAATGTGTACATACAGATATATATATATAATGGACATTTTTATTATTTTGTATTTTGTTCTTAGTCCTTATTATAAAGTTTTTAAATGTAGCAAATAAGACTAAAATTGAATAAATAATATTGGAATTAAAAAATTATTTATCATTAAATTTTAAAGAAAATTTCGGTAAGTATCTATATACTTTTTCCTAACTCCAGCTTGTTGAGCTTTGTCACTGTTACGGCCTCATAACCATATTATGGTTACAAAGCCATGCCCTCAGTATATTGTTCAATGACAATACCTGTACTACAGTGGTGACTAGCCACTGGATATTAGCACCGTAAATATAAATTTATACTTAACCCTACCATTTTCTAAAAATGATGATTTATTCTATCTACATACAATAACCTAACTTTAATGCTATTCTGTAATATGATCTTTACTTCAGTGTAGATTGCCATAGCTAACAGTGATAACAGTTTGCTTGCCAGATTGTTATATAGACATATAAAATCTCACATTGAAATCAAGAGAATTCTGCAACTAACTTTTTATACGAAAGTAGTTCGTTTTTAGAAATTTATAAAAATTGTAAATATACTTATTGTTAGTATTGAAATATAAGAGAAAATTGTATGTAATATATGCGAGTAGCTTTTTTGAATTTGTTAAGATTTACCTACCATAATCAAAGAGGTATCGGAGATCCTATTTAGGGTCTTATTTTAAACAGATTGTTTAGTTTAAAAATCTAACAGATTTTCAGATTGTTAGCTAGGTAAAGACATATATCTTGTTATAAATCTTACTCTTCTACCGAATCAAACACCTTTCTAGCCGGAGCATTTTCTTTTATTCGCACGACACGACACGACGAAGCCAGCGAAGCCGCTGAATTTTTATACGCTTCATTATGTCACGGTACAGCTCATCGCTCCCTCTAATTCGATACTCGTTTCCGTGCGTAAGAGACCATAAATCTTCCGAAAAATTTTTTCTAATGCTCCCAACGTCTTCTCATCACTCTTAGTAATTATCCAAGCTTCTTCATTATATATGGTAGTGGGACAATCATGAGATTTGTAGAACGTGATTTTTATTTGTCGAGAGAGAGCTTTATTTCTCAATTCCTTACTTATCCCGAAGTAACATCTGTTGGCAATGGTGCTCCACTGTTAACAAATATTGTTAATGTACACAGAAACTTAAATATACGAATGGTATTAAACCATACAACAATTGTGTTTTATAGATAGAAGTGTCGGTATTGAGAGTGTCCAGATTTTTGTGTTGCAATCAAACGAGAGCCTAAGACCCTGTAAAGATGTACGTTCATGAATAATTCGATAAGAATAATCAATAATTCATACCGCTTTGTGTACTTACTATTGCAACAGAGCCTAGTTTCTTAGTATTTAA